AAGGAGGGAGGGCGACCTATAGGATGATGAAGGGTGGGAAGATGATGAAGGGGATGGGGACTGGAAGGGGAAGGCGAGGATGACGAGTGTGGCCCCAGGATCCGCGAGCAAGCGTTCGGTTTCAACCATAATGAGCAGAACATGCTGCTCGATCCACAGCTGGATCGCATTATCTTACCTGTTGACCAGTATTGCCACGACTGGGTGCACGCATTCTTTTTTCGGTGTGTTTTTAACATTTCGACGCATCTCTTTCTTGCAGGTTGTAAGAGTAATGGGTTGCCAACGTATACTCATGTTTCGAGGGATACATCAAGATGTGGCCACTGCCCATCGCACACGGCAGCGCTGATAACTTGGCTAAGCTTTTTCAGAAGGGCCGCGATACTTCCAGCGGCAAGGCGAAAGCGTCCAAGTGCCAGGCGAGTGAGGCATTGCCTTTGCTGCCAATGATGTATACGTATGTGATGACGGTTATATTGCCTGCAGGGGTAGCACGCGCGGAGTGCACCGCTTTTGCTCGGTTGTGTGATTTGGCGTTGCGCATCGAAGCTGCAGCATCACCCCGTGCGTCTGCTGACGCTCTCAGGAACAGGACGAACGCGTTTCTGGATGCTTGTGAAGCAGCAGGGTGGCAGGAATACATGACGCCGAAGTTTCACTGGCTGGTCCATTTCCCAAGGCACCAGGTCAAGTTCGGATGCCTCTGGTCGTGTTTTGCGCACGAGAGAAAGCACAGAGTGCCCGAGCGGTTCTGCAATGATATGCGCCAGCCGGCAGCTTCTGAGAGGAGCGTGCTGTCCGAGGTCGCATGCCTCTGCATTTGGCAAATTTGCGCAGCACCAACGTGTTCGACTTCTCGCCGCACTTGGTGCGCCCCAGGGCGGCACCTCAGAAGATGCACGCCTTCCTTGAGGAGAAGCTCGGCCAGCGCCTCCCCAGGGACAGCACGACCACGGCTCTTTCGGCTCGGGTGTCGACGTTGTCGACATGCCAATCCCGCGACATCGCGCTGCTCTCCGTTGCCAATGGTGGCAAGGCGTGCGGGGAGGTTTGGTTTCACGCTGCTGTAAACGGAACGATGGTATCGCTGGTTTCAATCCGGGACACCCCTCGCTACGATGATCGGCTCGGCGCGCAGGCCGTGCACCCAACCGACGACGACTTGCAGCTGGTGCACACGACCGACATCATCACTGCCATGGCGGGGCGTTTGCCAAGTTCCCGAACCATCACCACCACTATACGGGCGTGCCGTCTGCAAGCAACTGTCCGCTTTGCACACGTGCACTTGTGAAAAATGCATGGTGGACATTTGCGATGTGGGACGTGCGTTGTGGTTGGTTGGAAAGGTTCGAAGACTTGCAAGGCATGTAGGCGCCATGGAGGCGGATCAATCGCGATAGCGCCTCCCATGTTCAAGTGGTGAGACATCGCGTGAGCTGCTACTTGCTTTCTTCTGCGCAGCAGCGCAAAAACCTTGCTTTCCAATGCATAGGTGTCGCTCGCCTTGCGCATCGCGCATAGAAAAACAACAATTCGGGAACTGAGAATGCAGTGGCTGCACGTCAACATGCAAGTACTTGCAACTACTTGCGTTCAGTTAGCGCAACTTGTAAGTTCCGAAACCAACTTGCTAAGTTTGCTAAATCTTACAACCACCCAAGTTCACCACAGCAGACCCGTCCAAGTCTCGAAACGTTCAATATTGTCCAGCATCCTTGGTGGCAAACGGCCCCTGGAGGCCTCCAGGAGGCTTCGCTACGCGGGGGGAGAGGTCTTCTGGCGCGGGGGAAGCGGAAGGATACACATCTGAGCGGTTTCAGGCCAGTCTCGTTCCCCCCTCCCTCCTTGCCTCCTCCCTCCTTGCCTCCTTCCTCCCTCCCTGCCTCCCCTCTGACTCCCCACCTCCGTCCTTCCATATCGTCATGCCCCATCCCTGCATCCTCACGGCTTCCCTCCCCTGCCTCCATGCTTTTCTCCCTGCCTTGCTCCTTCCGTCTCCCTCTCACTTTCCCCCGCACCCCTCCTTCCCTCTCCTCTTCTTCCTCCTCCTCTTCCTCCCTCCCCGTCCTCCTCCTCCTCTTCCTCCTCCTCCTCCATCCTCCCTGGTGATCCTCATCCTTCTGCACCCCTCAACAACAATCACACAGGTGCAAGGCGGGTAGAGTTCAAGATTATTGACGCTTCGCATATCCCTTTGTGAGCCCATAGAGCAAAGATGTTCAGGTGAGTTGCATAGATCAGGGACGTGTGGGATCACGCAGTGGAACACAGAGGGGGGAGCCAGCTGTCACAGCTGTCAAACCAAACATCGGCAGGCCGAGGAGTTAACCAGACATGCCGTCGCGGATGTTTACAGCCTACTTGGTCCCATCTTGTGACCACTTTGGAGGCCTTTGGGGCTCCCTTTGAGCTTTCTTGGGGCCCTTTTTCGCGCCTTTGGCCCTTCTTGGGGCCGTGCTGGAGGCTATCGGTCGAAGAAGGGAGGGGTGACAAATTGTGGTCCCCGCAACGGAGGCCGCAAAAACGGCATCGTGGGGTGTTTTGGGGGCCGTCTGGGACCCGTCATGGGGATCTCTTGGGCCATCCTGGAGCCGTCTAGAGGCCTCCAAAGCCCATCGAAAGCGACGTGGCGAGAAGATAATGATCAGTTCTTGTCCTCAGCTATTTGAAGGGTTTGGTCTTCTGGGGGGGTCCTTGGGAGGCTCCGTGGCCACTTAAAGTCGCCTTGTGGCCGTCTTGTGGCGGTCTGGCGGCACGTGAGAGGCTTTTCATGTATATTAAGGTGGCCTCCGGCCAGTGCCGCCGATCCCGGGAGTGCCCGACGTTGTCGAAGACATCGGCGACAAAAAGGACGACGAGGAACGACGAATGGATGACAATTGACGAGGACCGACGATGAGGAAGATTGACGACGACGACGATGGACGGATCACGGCGAGCGATGACCGACGACCAGCGAGGACGACCCATGACGACGATGACGATGTGGGACGAGGAACGACGCGGGCCAGGGCCGGAGCTGGGGCCGGGGCCAGGGCCAGGTCTGGGGCCAGGGCCGGGGCGGGGCGGGGCTTGGGCTTGTGCCACTGGCTGGGCCGGACTTGGAAATGGAAGAACTTTTTTGTTCCTCCTTCCACGGCACCCTGGCACCCGCCCAAGCAGAGTTGACGAGCGGCCCCCCCCCCCCCCCTTCTCCAGCAGAGCCATCTTGACCCCCCCTCAGCAGAGCTGAAGCTCAGGCCGTAGCCTTCTTGAAACTCACACGCTGGCTTGGCGCGCACACACATGCATATATATACATATATATATATGTATATAATCATGCATGCATGTGTGTATATATATATTATACACCTAGTAGAGAGAGAGAGAGAGAGAAAGAGCGAGAGAGAAACAAACAAACACATATTCCTTGGATTTGGTTGACCTTCCAACGACCCGTGGAGGCAGGGACTCATGGAGAGGGAAGAGGTAAGAGGTAAACCTCTCGCCGAATGGGGAGCATGTTGGAATACATATTCCGTGCAGTAACTACTTCCTTAGACCACCTACGCCCAGACGGCTGGTGGGATCCGGTTCTTGCCTTGGTGCCGCGCACATTCGTGTTGAAGTGCCAAAGAATCGTATTGATGGAGTGTAGTTGATTTCCAAAGCGTGATTCTCGTGGTGACGCTGCGCGTATCGTTTTTGTTACCTACAGGTATAGGTGCAACCGGTTCAAGATGCTGGTCTCTTAGGGACGTCGTCGGACTCGATGGTTTTAAAGTTTGAGATGTTCAAAACGGAGAGTGGACCAGTTTCAGTGTTTTTTCCCGTTGGGGCTTGACATACCTGATCGTGGAGTTGAAGGTTTCAACAGCAACATTGATGGATTACGGCCTCTGTTGCCCCAAATTTCCGTCTTGTCTATCAAGGGTCTTGTCTTACAATTGCAGGGATGCAGGGAGGGCCCTTTTCAAAGTCGACTTCCCTCCCAACTCCTTCTTCAGCTGCACATGTGGAGGACTGTTCCTTTCCGAACCCGTGTTTTCGTTCTGGCGGCCCACACATCTCCGTATCGTTTCTCGGGAGGCCCAATCGGTGTGGTGACCACACCGCGTGGTGAGTAAGTGGGGATTCGGGGTCACCGCAAGGTTGTGGGACTCGGGTCTTTCTCCGAGGACTTCTCGGACGACCGGGGCCTTCGAGGTCCCAAGGTTCATCACCACGCGATTTGGGGGCCCGAATTTCGGAGTACAAATGTCGTACACGATGTTGGTGGATTGACGGCGATTCCGCTCAAACTCGTTGCGCTGCGGAGTTCGATGTGCATTTATGCTAGCATGACCGTTGATACTCATTTCCAACTGTGCAGAACTCTTGCAGTGCAGGTCCATGGTTTTCTCACTTTCGCGGAGGGTGCTCGCCGTAGAGAGAAAACACGTGCGGCGCCTTCTGGGGGAGGACCTCGGGACAGGGAGGGCGTATTGCAGCATCAGTGGTGGGTGCTAGGAGTATGGCCAGAGACCGTCATTCTCATCCTCCTCCTCCTCCCCCGCCTGCACCTCGTCATCGTTGTCTCCTCCCGTGGCCGTCCCCTCCCCCCTGCTCCGACCCGTCGTCCTCATCATCCATAACCCCCTGCAGGGAGGCCGACGCCAGCGTCTCCTCTGCCCCACGGCACACTCGCTCCGTCGACGCGGCGACGCCAGCGCGAGCTCCTCCTCCTCCTCCTCCTCCACCTCCTCCTCTTCCTCCCTCCTCCTTCTCCTCCTCTTCCTCCCTCCTCCTCCTCCTCCTCCGCCAGCGCGACCATTCGGGGGCTCGTGTCGGTCTTCAGGCCAGCTGAAACGCCACCCATGGCGCAAAGTCCATACAGCCGCTATGGCCGATAGCCCGTGGGGACCTCCGAGGGCGGACGTCGTTCAAGATTGAGCGGTGTAGGCGGTGTCAGAAACCACAGAAGTTGCCGCACCTCCCCCATTGCACTGCCCCTGGACTCCTGGACGGCTCAGGAGACACCGATGGCGGCGGCTGGATGCTGCTCTTGTCGCAGGTGGATGTCATCGAGCAGTTCAATTGCACCACCGTGCCCACCCTGCACGGCTGCCCCGGGATGCCCGGCTCGACCGAGGACGTGGACTACCCGGGCTCCGCTAGCCCCTTCGCGCACGACCTCGCCGCCGGGAGCCCCTCCGACGCGGCTGCGTACGCGCGCAATTGGACGCACACGGGCTTGGATCCGCAGATCGGCGACGAGTTTTTGCTGAAGCGCGGGAGCACTGGCGATTGGGTGCGCTTCGTGCAGCTCGGGCCCTGGTGCGGCTGGGACCAGACGCGCAACTGCATGCCGTGGGTCGACCGCGACACACAGCACGGCTTCTACACCATGGGCACGGTCTACGACCAGGACGGCACGGAGTTCACCCAGGGTGGCGCCAGCGGGACCGAGAGGTTCAAGTATTTCAACTCCTGCACCAAGGCAGGAGGCTGCATGCGTGAGGGCACGGACGGCGTCGGATTTGGCGTGCTGGAGTCTCACTTGCGAGCCACGGATGGCAATGGAGGCTTTGGGGGTACGTGGGGTCCGCCCTGTCTGAGATGGAATAGCGACGCGTGCGACGATGGAGACAGGCTCCTGGCTCCATAAATAGGCACTCCATTCTCAACGCCATGGAAGAGGAGGGGAAGAGGGCGTTGAAGGGGAGAGGAGGGGTGCACGGGAGATACAATGTTTTGGACCCTGTGAGGCTGCCGTACACGTATTGGTTCCGGAGCGGGACTGGCGAAGTGACAGAGACACCGTCTTGGATGATGCCCTGCACCACTGGCGGAGGTGCCATCGCAGCGGAGGGAGATAACAGCATCCTTGTTCTCGACAGCCTCTTCATCGACAACACCGCAGAGATCGGCGGGGCGGTCCACCTCAAGGCCTCAGAAGCGGGTGACTACTTTACGAAGCCATCCACGTTCGCCTGGTTTATCAACGTCAACATATCATGGAACAGTGCGTCTTACGACGGCGGCGGTATCTCCGTCGCGGGCACCAGCAACAACCGCCAGGTCTACGTGGACATCTCCGACTCGGTGGTGGACAGCAACAGTGCAGGGCTCGCCACGGAGAACAGAGGAGGCGGCATCTCCGTCAGCAAGGCTTTCCTGAGGATCATGATGCTCCAACCTACTCTAGCCTTGATCACCAGGAAGAATTCCGAGCGCCCCAAAAAGTACCGAAACTCAAGGGTTTTCGCGGGTCGGGCCCTGGAGAGACATTCGCCCGACACTGTTTCGACACTCTCTTGACACTTTTCCGGGTGCTCGAAGTTATTTCTGAGATGTGGTCTTTAAGTAGGATGGGAACAACATAACCTGAGGATGTGGAACACCACGTTGTCGAACAACGTTGCCGATATTGGGGGTGGCGCATCCTTCCGCAAGGCCAACGTGGAGGCCAGCCGCTGCACAGTCTCTGGAAACGTGGCAGTGACACGGCGGGGCTTCGCGGCCGGTCTGTCCATCGAGGACTCCTCGACGGTGGAATTGGAGGGCGTCTTCTTCGATTCCAACGCTGCTGACCCGTCCAGTGGGGACCCAGCGATGGTAGGCATAGATATCTACCTAGGCGACGGCTCGCTCCAGTGCGGGTCTGTGTGCGAGCCAGGCACCTACGAGACCAACTTGACCACTGCCGACTGCGCCGACGCCTACTACAGCGCTTGTCCGGAGCCATGCGGCAGCGCCTCTCCGGACCCCTCCACGTGCACGCCTTGTGGACCGGGCTCTTTCAACCCCGCAGCCGGCGCGCTCGGCCCAAGCGATTGCGTCTCCTGCCCCGCGGGGAAGAGTTCCGCCACCCGCGGCCTCGCGTCCGCGAGCGGCTGCCTGTCTTGCGAGGCGGGCCTCTACGCGGAGGCCGGCGCCGCCGCTTGCGCCCCGTGCGCTGCCGGGCGCAGCGCTGTGGCGCTGGGCAGCGAAAGCTGCGTGGACTGCCCGCCAGGCCGCTATGCTGGCACCCAGGGGCGCGGCGAGTGCAAGGTGTGCGACATAGGTCGGAGGATAGGAAAAGACAGAGACTTCTATTTCCGAGGGTCCGCGCGGGTTTTCCGGAGTGGCGCGGGGCCCCCGAAGTGGGCCTTTGGCCCTGCCCCTGGGGCGCGCTCCGCACGCCAGGGAATGGGGTCCACTGCACATCTACGAAATCTACGCGGACCTCCGAGAGTTTGTGTTCATAGTTTCTTGTTCTTCAAATAGGGTCCTACTCGGCACAGCCTGGGGCCACTTCCTGCTCATCCTGCCCCGCTGGAAGGAGCACGTTCTCGCCGCTGAGCGACTCGCGGGAGGCTTGTCTGTGCGGAGCCGGCTGGCTGCTGTTGGGTGACGGCTCTTGCGCGGAGTGCTCCGCTATCGGTGCCACCTGCCCCGGTGGTGTGGAGCAGACGGAGGTGCTCTCGGGGGCGTCCAAGGGGCGGGGAATGACTTGGGGGGGGTCAGATACCTCCCCAGATCTCATGGTCTCTCCCCTTATTTCAATACGTCCCTCGCGCCATGCTTTGCGAACCCCCCTCTTGGACGCCCCCGGAGGTGCGCGCTCCGCCCGGCTTCTTCCTGCTCGCCGGGGAGACGGAGCAGGGCGCCGCTGGGCGTGCGGGAGCCCATGCGCGCGCACCCGAGCCGTACCGGTGCGCGTCGACCGCCGACTGCCCAGGCTCGGCCACGCGCAGCGGGGCGCAGGGGGAGACGGGGGGAGGCCTCCCTGGGAGGAGGCGGGCGGAGGGCGGAGGGCGGAGGGCGGAGGGCGGAGGGCGGAGGGCGGAGGGCGGAGGGCGGAGGGCGGGGGGCGGAGGGCGGGGGGCGGAGGGCGGAGGGCGGAGGGCGGCGGGCGGCGGGAGGCGGGCGGCGGGCGGCGGGCTGCTTCGTGGAAGGCGCGGGCCTTGTCTCTAGACGTAGGGCCGGCGCCCTCTGCGAGGCAGCCTCCGCCTGAGAAGCCGTCCCGCCTCCCTCGGCGAAGAAAAAACGACCACAGAGTCAACTTTTGGCGCTCCCGGGCGCGCTCCGCACGCCGGGGAGGGGGGGTCTGGCGCGGATCCAACAAATCCGCGCGGAGCGCCAGAAGTTTGTGGTTACGTATGCAGTTGTTTATTCTTCCGTTCCCCCTATTCCCTTCTGTGCGCGCCGCCAACAGGTTCCATGCAGCCCAACGAGTGCCCACCAGGTCACACTGGGCTCGTGTGCGCCGAGTGTGCGGTCGGCTTTTCGCGAGAGAACGGGGAGTGCGCGCCCTGCAGCGAGAGCGGAGTCCAAGGGGGAGTGGCCATGGTGGCGGGTGCCATCCTGTTCCTGAGCGGCTGCGGGGCGTTCCTGTGGGTTGGCCGGAATCCGTACCAGATTCACCTTAGGCTGGTGGACGCGTTGACAGCCAGTGGCGGCATCATGATCACCTACTTGCAGCTTCACAACATCTTAGAGGCGCTCGCAGTGGCGTGGCCAGACTCCATGAGGGCGTCCGTCTTCGAGGTGTCCAGGCTTGCAGCGCTCGACGAAGGCCACTTGTCGCTGGATTGTTATTGGAAGCCATCCCCTGTCGCGCGATTTCTGCCAAAGTTGGTGATGGTGCCTGCAGCGGTGCTGGTTACAAGTGGACTGTTCTGCATAAGCCGGGCGATTCCGCCACTCAGAAGGCGTTTGCGCTCCATCGATTGCTTGTACAGCGCCTGGGGGTTCATAGGGAGCCTTGCATTCGTTCCCCTCGCAACTCACACTTCCAACGCCGTGAATTGCTACTCCCACCCAGGGGGCAAGGCCTCGTCCATGCGCGCGATTCCGTCGCTCCTTTGTTTCGAGTCTGAGTGGAACAGCACCATTTTACCCGCCGCCGCCATCAGCTTTGTGCTCTTCGTCTTGGGCACATACTCTGCGTTTGTGTACCTCACGATCAAGAGCCCAAGCTTCCCTTGGGCCGAGACCCGCCTCGGTTTCCTCGTGGGCCGTTTCCGGCCAGATGTGTACTTCTGGGGCGTGCCTCTCTTGACGCGTAATCTGATATTGACGTTAGCACCTGTCTTTGCCCCAGACAAGCCTTTCGTGGGCGCCATACTGATCGTCATCACATGCCTCTGCTACCAGTCAGCTGTACTGTATCTGAGCCCGTGGAAGTACTATGGCCACACACTAGCAGATGCTATCACTACCGGCGCTTTCGCTGTGACTGTTGTTGCCGGCATCGCGTTCTCGGACGCCCCCACGTACCCGATCGACAGCGCGAGGGAGGACCCCTCCTGGGTGTTTTTGGCTGTCTGCGTGACCTCGCCCTTCTTCGTGTCCCTGGCAGCGATGCTGTACGCCGTGCGCCAGGGGGCGCGAAGGTCTGGGCAGCGTGCTCGCGCCGGCAGCCTCAATTCCTTCAGGCAGGAGGTCGCAGAGATGGTCTCAAGTCTGAGCCCGCTGCTCGCGCTTGCCCAGGAGACCACCTGAGCGACGCAACAAAACGGGGTCGGCTGCGCCGACATTCGCGCGTAAGCTCCCCGCGTAAGGTCGCGCGTAAGCGCCCTCGTTTCCAACGTAGCGTGCCGCGCCGGCGGCCCGCGTAAGCCACCGCGTAAGGTCGGTATGCCATCTCGCGTATGGCCCGTTTTGTATCGTCGCTCACCTGCCAGATCCCGAGCCCCACACGCCACCTGGCGATTCAAAGCCGATTTGGAGGCCAGCTGCCCTTCTGTCTGACCATGTCCGAGCACAGTGTATGACTACCACCACCAAGATCGAGAATAATCTACGATACGATTTGGTGCAATTTTGCTCTGGTGAAATGCCCGCAGTCCTCCTCCCGCCGCCAACGCCAACCGGGCTGGCCCCCTCTCTCTAAGGTTCGGAACAGACTTCATCAAAGTTCGCGCGGTGGTGGTGTATGAATTTTGATTACCAAGAGGAGCGATTCTTACACACCACCACCAAGAAGTGTTGTTTCTGCTTCAGGAGCTCCCCATGCCACGGCGCCTGCGAACTGCGCCGCGCTCCTTTTCACTGTGGCGTCGCAGCGTCGTCTGGCATGACCCTGCCCCTAACCCTTTTTGCGATCAATTACTGTTGCGGGCGGTGGTGGTGTATGAAAATTGGCCTCGCACCATGGAGATTCGGGGCCTTGGGCGGGCTGTCCAATCTGAAACCAACTCTGAGCGGACTGGGGAGAGGGGGGGATCGATCGGTCAGGTCCGTGTCCAGCTGGCCGCGCGAAGGGCCAGGGGCCGAGGAGCGATTCAGCAGGCCCGCAATCCCTCGTAAGCGCTCCCCCTCATAAAACCGAATCACCCCTTCCACTGCAACTCAATGGTCTGGACGTCCCTTGAAAGGAGGGGGCCCTGCTATTCCGGACCCCTTTTGCGAAATTGCATGTGTAATTCACGGTGTCGGCCGCGTTGGTGAAAGCGATGGCAAAGGATGGCATTGCGAGAATGAAGATAGTAATGATTGTGATGATTATGGTGACGGCGATGCTGGTTACGATGATTACGATGATGATGATGATGCTGATGATGATGATGATGATGATGAGCATGATGATGATGATGATGATGATGATGATGATGATGATGATGATGATGATGATGATGATGATGATGATAACGATGTTGTTGGTGATTGTGATGATGGTGTGACGATGGAGGTGGTGATGATGACTCTCAAAGCGGTGGCCACGAAAACGAATCTGCATGCGAACATCTGCACCAATTTGAGCAGATGAAAGAGCATGCGAAGGCACCCTACTAAACCGGACCCCCTCTGAGCGTCGGTTTGAAGAAACCTTTCGATTGAAACCAGATCCAACAGGCGCCTTGGAAAACTGGAGCTGGGGGATTTGTAGTACGGAACTATGACCACCCCCAGACGACAGCAGGATAGCCCAGGCGGCGCAGGATCGGCCGATCTTGGCTGTGTGTTCGGCCTCTGGAGGCCCTGCGTGATCTAAGTCGGGCGTGTTCCTCTACAGGAAAAATGTCCAATAACCATTTAAACAGTAGTCTGGTGTCGATTGTCCGTGTTCTTTTGAGTACGTTTGATTATTTGTGTTTGTTTATTTGTCTTCCACAATCTGCTTGTAGGAGGACGTGCCCGACCTGATACTTGATCTTTCCCTGGGATCCCGACGGTGGCCCCGCTCCCCCTCGGTGCTCTAAAGAGCAGAGCGCCGAGGGTGGCCAGCCGGGCCTGGGGCGAGGAGAGCGCGGTGGCGGACGAGTCCCTGCAGCGGAACTTGGAGGCCTTCGGCGCCCACGACATCGCCGCATCGCAGAGGGGCTGTTTGCTGATCCTCTCTCTGCTCCTGGGCATCGATCCCAGCGAGGAGCTCGCGAGCTTATGCCCCTTTGAGGTTCTGGGGAGATTGTGTCTCTTTCCTCTGGCGCGCGTAGCTGTCGTTACCCGCCTCCCCCCCCTCCGCAACGGTAGCGATCGTACGTGGGGATAGCCCGGACAGGGCCCGAAGGCATGTTGTGTTGCTCGCAGGTCTGCTGCGGCTCTTGCGTGCTCTCCGCGCCCGAGCGTTACCGTTACCTGGACCCCCCCGCCCACGCCCCAGGTAACAACAGCTTACCGACACGACATCAAAACAGTGTTAGCCAGCGTCGGTTCCAAATAGTGTGCTTCGAGCAATCTATGTGGAGCAATAGACGTGGTGCAATCTAATATGTGTGGTGCGATCTATGGTGTGCAATTGATTTTAACAAACCAGTTGACACATCCCGCGCTCTTGCAAACATCCCACCCACCCACCCGCAGCTTGGTTTGCAAAATCTCTTAAGACCGTGACGGTGGGAACCAACTGGCACTTGGTAACGACAGCGACGCCGACGACGACAACGACAACGACGACGACGACGCCGTCGACAACGACTACGACGACACCGACGACGTCTCCAACGACTTCGTCGACTCCGACAACGACGACGACGACGACACCGACGACGACGACGCCGCCGACGCCGACGACGACGACGATGACAACGCCGACGACGATGACGACGCCGACGACGACAACGACGACACCGACGACGACGACGACGACGTCAACGACTCCGGCGACGACGACGACGACGACGACGACGACGACGGCGACGACGGCGACGCCGACGTCGACGACGACGACGACGACGACGCCGACGCCGACGGCGACGACGAAGACGACGACGACGTCGCCAACGAGGACGACGACGAGGGAGGAGGGAGGACGACGACGGCGACAACGACGACAACGACGACACCGACGAGGAAGGAGGGAGAACGGCGACGACGCGAACGACGAAGAAGGAGGAAGGACAGCGACGCCGACGACGACAACGACGAGGGAGGAGGGAAGACGACGACGACGACAACGACGACGACGGCGACGAAATAGGAGGGACGACGACGAGACGCCGACGACGGACGACGACGACGACGAGGGAGGAGGAGGAAGGACGACCACGGCGACAACGACGACGGAAACGACCACGACGCCAAAGAGGACGACGACGACGAACATGAGGAAAGACAGAGGACGCCGTAGGCGACGACGACGACGACGACGACGACGCGGGAGGAGGGAGGACGGCGACGACGACGACGACGCAAGATCGCGCGCGCACGCTTGTGTTGAAAATCCGTGTTGCGAAACCTTATGTTTTTGTATGTTTGTTGGACACACGATTTTGAAATCCTTCCGAAACCGATGGGTTTTGAAAGATTTCGGCATACGAGCGTGACGACGCGCGCGTCTGCACTGCGTCAACAAATTTTGCAGAGGGTTCTCGCGACGGCACACGCGCAAGGGCGTTCGACAGATTTCGACATGCGCGCGCGAGAAGCCCGTTCGGTAGCATGTTGCGTGCATCCTGAAAAAGCAATGGTTTTCTTAAGATTTCGCAAGAGCTCGCGCGTAAACTTTTTAACACATCAGTGTTGCGAAACCATGTGTTGTTGTATGTTTTTGGGGAACTCAATTGCGAAATCCTTCCGGCACCGAAGGTTTTTGAAGAATTTCGGCATGTGCGCGCGACAACGCGCGCGTGTGCACTTCGCCCCATTGTTTTGCAAGGGATTCGTGCACATCTGTTATGTTAGAACGAACGATGTCCCCGCGCATTGATTTGTACAAGGGAACCTCAGGGGGGCCGATACCGGTTCCCCCGGGACATTGTACATTCATATTTAGGATGGACATGTGGTCAGAATCATACATGGTTTACATACCCGTAAGGGGGGCGGCGAACGCCGGGGGGGGGGGTAGAGTCTATTTTGTTTTTAGAAAGGAGAATTGACTACCCTGCACCGTGCTTGACCACCTCCCATGCTCTTGAAAGCATCCCGCCCACCCACCCGTAATTTGGTTTGCGAAATCCACGCGGCGGCGATTGCGATGAGTGCATGGCATTGGCTGGTGCATCTCTGCGGCCGCGCTAGCCCGCGCATGCTCGCGCGCACAGCGGCCAATTAGTTTGGCGCGGCCGACGCGGCCGCAGTGGCGCTGACCGCACGGCGCATCCCAGCGGCCACTTCCGTGCGAGTCGGTGATTTGGGCGGACGCGGTATCATGGCAACGTCGACAACAGTAGACACGATAATGATAATGGCAGTAACGATGGTGACGATGTTGACAACGACGGCGGCAAGACCAATGGCGGCCCCGCTGCTGATCACGCCGTCGACGATGACGGCGCCTCCGCGTCGGTGATGAAGGTTTTGGAAGGAGTTCGACATGCGCGCGCGGCCGGCGCGCGAGATTAGCCGCATGTAAATATTTGACATTGATCGCGCCCCTCACCACCACGCGCGCAATGGCGCTCGAATGATTTCGGCATGCGTCGCGACAGGCCGAAAAAATCGCAAGAGAGCGCGCGCAAGTTTTTGTGAAAATTGACGTTGCGAAACCAGATGTTTTATGTGGCCTGGACACTCCGTTTTGAAATCGCTACCACACCAACGTTTTTATTATTATTATCATTATTTAACAAAAAAAGACCAAACACACGGAAAAACAAAACAAAAGAAAATGATTTCGGCACGCGCGCGCGCGACGACGCGCGCGCGCTTCGTCGTGCGAGTTGCACAGGTCTCGCGCAATTCTTCCGAGATCGATGGTTGTTGAAGGATTTTGGCACGCGCGCGCGACGTCGCGCGCGTGCGCACTTCATGCTGTTCTGTTCACAGGGATCCTTGCAAACTGATGAGTTTTGGTGAAACAGGCGCGCGCGTAGCATTCGTTGCAGAGGATGACGGCGGGGGGTCGGCGCAGGCCTGGCTGGGGGTGGCACGAGGTCAGATTTAGCATGGGCGGTGGGGCAAAACGACACGTAAGTTGCAATGCGAAAAGGGGCGTCGATAATATTGGGGGGAGGGTCGAGTCTATGCTCTTCTAGGACAGGCGAATATATGTGGCGCGATATTTGCAATCATAGCAATTTACGTATGTGGTGCAATCCACTTGGTGCAAAGAAATTATGTTTGGTGCAATGTGCGACCCTGCGCCGCGCTCGGCCACCTCCACTGCTCGCGCATTCATCCCGCCCGCCCACCCGCCACTTGCTTTGCAAAACCCATGCGGCGGCTGTTGCGATGAGCGCTCGACGTTGGCCGGTCCACGTCCGCGGCCGCGCCGGCCCAGGCGCGCGCGCTGGGGCCGAGTAGTCTGGCGCGGCCGACGCGGCCGCGGCGTCGCTGACCGCTGGGCGCATCCAAGCGGGCACTTCAGTGCGAGTCGGCGACTTGGGCGGGCGCGGTACCAAGGCAATGTCAACAACGGTAGACACGGCGATGATAGTGGCGACGCGGGCGGCGATGTCGACGGCGACGACGGCGCGGCCAGGGCGGGCTCCCATGCTGATCGCGCCGATGGCGATTTCGGCGCCCTAACGTCGGCGATGAAGGTTTTGGAAAGGGTTCGACATGCGACCGCGGCCGACGCGCGAGAGCGGCCCACGCGGTATTCTCGGGCGCGGTTCGCGACCCCCCCCCCCGCGCGCGCGCAGAGGGCCTGCGAATGATGTCGGCGCGCGGCGGCAGAGGCCCTTCTGCAGAATTCCACGCGTGTAGTTTTGCAAACTGATGTTGCGAAGCCAGGTATTTTCGCATGTGTTTTGGACACTCGGTTTGAAATTGCGACGACACCGACGGTTTTTGACGGACTCTGGCACGCGCGCGCGACGACGCGCGCGCATGCACTTCGTCGCCTGCGCCGCAAAGGATTCTCGCGCGCGAAGCCCGTCTGGTAGCAAGTTCTGAATAGGTTGGAAACCTATGGACTTCCTCGGAGTTCGCAAGAGCGCGCGCGCCAGCTTTTGTCTGAAGATCCGCGTTGCGAAACCATGTGTTTTAGTTTGTTCCTTGGACACTCGATGTTGACTTCTTTACAAAGCCGAAGGTTTGTTGAGGATTGTGGCATGCCCGCGCGACGACGCGCGCGCGTGCACTTCGCCCAGTTTTTGTTGCACATGATGTTTCAAAACTTGCGACGCGCGATCAAACAGTGCCGCGCATGATCTTTCCTGCGTAGGATGAGGGGGGGGGTCGATACCGTGTGGGCTGGAATGGTATGAGTGCATATGCGGTGGGCGATGGGGCAGAATCATATGTACATTGCAAAGCGACAAATGGGGTCGATAGGCCCCGGGGGGCAGAGTCCATCTTCTCAGGAAGCATAGCCTATGTTGAACAAATGTGGTGCAACCGACGTAGTACCTATGTGGTCAAATATTCGTTGTTCTATCTATGTGGTCCAGTCTACGTGGTGCGATTGTTTTTGAT